GCATGCGTATCATGACACCGCTGGCTCTCCTGGGTCAACTACAGATCTTGGAACTTTTTAGCTTCCATAATCGGGTGAGCCAACTCCTGTGATCTCCACCTCCATCCCCATTCCTGTCCCCATCCCCATCCCTGTCCCCATCCCCATCCCCATCCCCATCCCCGTCCCTATCCCATTGGTTCTGTTTCTCTGGAGAACCCTGACCAATGCAGATGACAGGTGAGCAGTGGATGGTGGGCCTGGTTCTTAGCAGTAAAGTTCTGGTCAAAGTCTGTCGATCTGTTGTTTTTGTTTTCCCAGCATCCATTTTCCTACTGATATGATCCCTGTGTTTTCCTCTGAGAGAACCATCCCCCTCTCATATCAAATCCATATGCTTCCTCCTCCTCTCTCTCGCCCCCACCTCCCTGCCTGGCTCTAAGTATCATCACATGACCAAGTTGGGCCAATGAGGGTCAATATTGGATTCTGGTGGAACTACTGGGAAAGATGCGTTCTCCTTCCGCTGGGAGTGCTGGGCTGAAAGGATGCAAAGCCAGAGCTGATAGGCGCCATCTTTGCTGCCACATAGGAAGAATCTGTGTGGGAGTAAAACCAACGCAGAGGGAAACATCTGAACACGGAGTGAGGTGTATTTCTCCTGACATCATTTGAGCACCTGGATCTGACCATTCCTGGTGTTAGGTTTCCCAGTAGGTGAACCATTAAATTTCCATTTTCCCGAAGCCAGCCTGGGTTAAGTTTCTTACTCTTGCAATCAAAAAAGGCCTTGATATAGTCTGTAGAACTTGAACCATCTTTAACGTGTGTGCTCTTCTCTAACTCCAATACAAAATTAGGCTGGCTGTATTTATCATTCTGCATTTATCTGAGGCAATAGGGCAGAAGAAAGATGATGTTGATGGCCCTGGGGGGAAAACAAGCGCTTAGTCTGGTACTCACTGTAGGAAGGTATCCCATAGGCTTGTGCGGGAGGCGGGTAGGCTGTGTAGGGGGTGGCCTGCTGGACCCCTGCACTGTACTGTGTCTGGCCGTAGGCTGCCATGGCCGTGGGAGGCTGGCTGGGCAGGACACGTGGGCAAGGTCTGCACGGAAGGAGAGAAGATTAAATCTCAAAAACCAACCCATCCTGTCCCCCTTA